CCACCGTAATTGCAGCAGCTGCCAGTTACCGCTTTGAAGAAGAGCACTGCAATTCTCAGAATTATCAGGGGCAAAAGGGTAAGAGTGGACAGGGCGAGTAGTATGGAGCAGAAAGCTACTGTCTTCTGCTTGAGGAGTAACTCCGCTGCAGCGTGGCCTGCTGCTGCCCTAGCAGGCAGGAAAAGCTCTTCCTATGTTCTGTGGCGTACAACACCTCGAGGTGGGGACTGAAGCGCTTCACTGGTGCTGCATCTCTGCCCCTCTCTTCTCTCCTGCAACAGCCTGCACTGAAAGGCTGGAAGACCTGTCATTTTGCTGCCCCTCTGCCCTCCTGCGAAGCTGCCTGCATGACACGGCTCTTGTACCCAAGGAGCTCATATGGGTGCCCGTAGCCACCACCCAGCCCTGTGTCTCTGGAGGGCTAGAACTGTGCTGTTCGGCCGTTGCAGCACCGTTTGTGAACGTGTATTGGATGAATTGTGAAGGCTGGCACAAGGAAGTGAAGAGGAAGGCGAGGAAGTGAACTAGATAACCCTCAACGCTGCCTATTGAAAAATCGCTTCCAACCTGTGACTGCTGAGTACGAGTAATCACCCAGGTGCGAGTTACCAATGCAAATGCTGGCAACACCGCCACCCCCTGACCTTGCACAGCGCTGCCTGCTTGGTGGGTGCGAGCAAATGCTGCCTGCTTTCGATAGTGCGTGGCTTAACTGGCCGCATAGCTTAAGATATTTTGTATTTTGATGAGCAACAGATTTTTAACATCTACAAAAATTCAAGGAAAATTTTGTTACGGTCACCTTTCCATCATATTTGGAAATGGACTCTGTTTAATAGCTTCACACCCAAACCTTGTTAAGCACAGTAGACAAAAAAAATTCAATGAAGTAGTATTTACACGATTTTGCTTCCCTTTTTCAACTTTACAGCTACAGGTATTTCCTGGCATGCTTTATCCTGATTTACTGGCAGCATTAGGTTCCAAGACAAGCTGCTAATATTTATTGAGATCTCTTCCACTAAAAGCACGCAAATAGTTCTTGCTGGGCATTGGGAAGCCTAATAGCATTCAGAATTTCTATTAGCGCTAATATTTTTTACTTGAATCAAGTCCACCTAGGTGATACCAAGGCAGGATGGGGGGGGGAATGTTAAATATATATTTATATAGTATATCAACATCCACAACTTAAAGTGTGAGAATTTAAACTGTCAGCAGAGGATCTTTATCTGAGATCTTCCTGTAGATAAGAGACGCTAAGTTAAACTAAACCCAGGCAAAGCTGGGGCAGCAGAGGGAAGAGTAACACATGCACAGAGCAGCAGATTTCACCTTTGCAGAATGCTTCTGTAAGATGACTGCTTTCTGATTGCTCTAACTTCTGTTTTGGAGTCCTACTCGCCTCACAACAAGCATGGATCCAGAGCCAGTGGTTCATGTGTGTTACATCTGCATTTGATTAAATAAGTCATCTGTGATGGAAGCCACACATCTGCTCTAGTAACTGATACAAGACACAGGCTCTGGAACAATTACAAGTCCAGTTCCAAGTCCATGCCAAAATAAATTCTGTCCGTCTCCGCAGGGTTGGCTCTGTAACTCCTCCCATCTCTACAATCTCCCAGGCACAGCCACAAGGAGACTCTCAGCCAGCCAAGAGAGCCTTACGCAATCCTAAATGGGTTGGGTTTTACACTGCTCTTTTCCTCTCTCCGACCCCGCACTGTAGAAGTATTTAAGTCTTGTCTACACCCACAGTACAACTTAAGCGAATCAATGTTTGACACAGCCTAGAAACCTCAGGGGTTTTTTAAATTATTTTTTAATATCAATCTTTTCTCTCATTTTGAAAACAAAGGTAATACTGGTCTAGCACACCCATCTTTATCCTTCAGCTGCTTGAAAAACTCTTGAACCAAAGATGTTAAAAAAAAGAGCAAAGTGTTACATTCCAATAAAATAATTATTAAAATTTGAATTTGTTTTAAAACTCTGCTCAAACATTTCTTGACTTTATACAGAACTAAGCAAGCTAAGCATTCTTAATTTTAGTCTGAAGTAAAATATAAGATCTGAAAACACAAGCTATAGCAAGACCTTTTGGTACACCTTTGCTTTGTTAGAGGCCTTTGGGTCATGACAGATTTCCAGCAACTCCTCCTTTCTGGCACCTTCAGGTTTGTTCTGCCCTGCTGTTGTCGCCCATCCTGTTTAACACTGCGGAGGAAAGAAGTGACATGCCCTTGGGACTATGCAGTTAAATTAAAAATCATCTCAGGCCAGACGAGTATTTTACCCTACAGTTGAAGGATAGGACATACACTTTCAAGATTTTCACTTTTATTAGGAATGAAACACAACCATCTAAAAAATATTTTAGAAAATTTATTGAAAACTGACATACAAAGGGTGATTTGGTCCCAAGAGAAGACAGACCAGAATCAGATCTTCGATCTTTCAAAATAAAGTTTTTCCTAATACTGCATCACATTTGCCATCCCGCTTGTAAACAGGATTCATAAAAGTCTTTTAAGGAAGCCAACAACAAATGAAACTGTTACAAATACAGAAGTTTGAAAACACCCAGTAGCTTGTTCTCCCTTACCCTCTCCAAACGATCGCCATAGCAAGAATCTTGCTCAGTCCTCCTAGATACTTGATTCCTGCCCTAGCCTACTCTTCTCCCCCATCAATTTAAGCGACTCAACCCTGTTCTCTCCTATCACAAGGGCAGAAATTAATTATGAAAAAATTAAAATAAATGGTTTTTACCAAAGCAGAATTCTTGGACACAGTTTTCTCCCAGCTCATGGTCTTTGTCAATAGTCCACCACTATATTCTTGTTTCAGATGGCGGAATAACAGGGGTCAGTGATGCTGTATTAGCATCAAACAATTAGCAGGAAACACACCTCTGAAAGTCAACCTTTGGTACAAACATAACAGGAAAAAAGTATGCTTAAAAGCCATCTACAAAAATTTCTTCTTCTGCAAATCTGGTATGCTATTTGTCATTTTTAAGAGGAAAAAACTGCATCTAGATTTGATGTATTTAGGCCTCCCACAGTTTTCGACATCCTCTGTTGCAATTTTAGAGTTGCTGAGATGGTTTCATCAAATTTTTGAATAGTTTATGCTTTCTTTTCAGTTTATTTAGGATTCAGAGCTATCAGCTAAAACAGTCCCAACCTTGAACTTTCACTATAATCCTGCAAGCTTAAAAACAGGTAACTATTTAAAGGCACCACATTTTCTACCTGCAGTGACTACAGCCTTCTCCAAACTGCATTGCTTTACTTTATACTCAAGCAATGCAGCATGTCAAAGGCTGTAGATTTTAAGCACATTCAGCAGCTTAATAATAGATGAGAAACTTTACACAGTACATGCAAGAGATTTATAGCAGACCCTGAAATTAAATTAGGCATAATAGCAAGACAAAGCTGCACACATTCTCCAATTTAATGAAAGTTCCAGAATGGTAAAGTTATACACCAGTTTCCAGAGTAATACCTATTCAAATGTTGGAGTGTTTTTAGTGAAGCTCTGAAATGTTTTAGCAAGACACAGCAAATTTCACGCAACCTTCAACAAGAGCAGCAAGATAGACAGGACTTAACAAATAGGGGTATCTTTTGAACAAAGCTTCTGCTGTCAGCCAAAAGATAAGAAAGGATAACTGCAAAAAGAGAAGCTTGATTTTAAACTATCGACTATGGGTTATTCAACAGTGAAAAATATCATCACAAAGATTATCAATTAGCTGTGCAAAGGAAGAGTAGATTTTCTTATGCAAACAGCTGCATTACTGTGGACTTGCTCCTTTATGTTAGCAAGATGTCCAAAACAGACTGGGATGCTAAGACTCTGAACAGAACCTATTCCTTGGAAAGGAATTTCTTACAAAAAGCCTCAATTCAGGTATCTCTGAGAAAGCTCCAGGACTTAAGAACAGAAGATAAGATTCTCTGCCTTGTTTAAGGGTTTTAAGCATAATGGAACTGCTGTGCATTGAGGAAACGTACAAGCAGTAACTCATTGAAGATTCCTTTTCTTAACACCCTAAGCAGGATACAGAATTCTTTTGGCGTACATCTGTATAAGCTATATAACGTTATGTTAATGGCACATGTTCTGGCTTAAATTCTCAGCCTAGACTCCCTCAGGAAGAAGACAAGCATTTTTTTTACTCCACCATCAATGCCAGCAGTCTCAAAGTTTGGGACTTGGTTACAGGAGATAATCAGCGTTTGACCCTCTTCACACCAGAAAAGTCAGCTCCCTGTTATCCGATTTACTTACCATGTTTACCAAAATTAAAGGATGCCATTTATTTAGTTGAAAGTTACACTCTCTTCAACTGACTTTCCAACTCGATGCACACAAAGAATCACAGCATAATGTAAATGTGAATCAATTGGCCGAGAAACGCTTTTCTCCAGAGTTTGCATCATTTGGGGGGCGGGGGGGGCATCAAAAGCCCACAAACACAATTTAGGAGCCAATGAACCAAAGATGACTAATGTTAGTAGGTATCTTGCAAGTTACTAGCTGGTTTTACTTTCCACAAAGCAAGAGGCTTATGCTCAGCTATAACACTCCTTCCCTACCACACTGCAGAATGCAGAATTTCTACATTTGAGTTTACATCAAGTACAAACCTGCCACAGATGAAATAGTGTGAAAAGCTGTACTTCCATAGGGATTACTTTTCTATCTGTGTCTAGACTCAAAAGTATTTCTTCCTTTCCATGCCTTTTTGTAATTCAAATTAAACTAACTGACCAAGCATAGTATGTGCACCAAAGTCTTAACGGCTCAGTAAGTGAAAGATGTGGCTTAAGCCACAGTTACATTCAATATTTGGATTTTATACTTTACCAAGGACAATTAAGAGGATATTTCACCATTAAGCAAGACGGAAAGCTACTTCCTTGTTCCAAAGGCCTCTAGATTACCCTCTCAGTAAAAACAAGAATATTTAACAGACCAGAGTACAGAAATCTTGGGGGTTTTTCAGTTTCCTTAAGTTGTGTCTGGCCAATCCACCTTCTTATAATTGTTAGTAGGAAAAACAAAAACAAATAATAAAACTTCAGATTCACACACCAAACCAGAAAGAAAGAGGGAATCAAAAAACAGCAACAAAAAACATCAGAAGCTCACCACTTCCAGTCTAAAATCTGGAATCTACAACTCCATTTCTTCTTCTGCACACCCAGAGATTCCCAAACTAGCATACGGATCTGAAGACATGGCAGTCTGTTGTGATTCAGGGAATGTTTCAGTCTGTGGGTCAAAAGCAGCTGTTGGTGTTGACTGCTTAGCTTGACACCCTTCTGTACTCTGCTGCTTGAAGTTCTTAACAGAAACAGACTTCAGTTTATCTGTGAGAAATTCAGGAAGAGGTTTCCAAAGCACCAGCTCCATAGAAGGACGGCTCCTAGAAGGGATGGAGTCTCAGTTAAATTTAAGTTCTTCGATCACAACTATTAAATGCAGAAGACCAGTGAGTATCTTCATCCTTTGTGCTAGCCTGAAACTGTATTCCAGAATCCATATACCTTTTTTTTTTCCCCCTATTAAATTTCTTCTCCCTTAACCAGTTCCATTACTTCCAGTTCTAACACTGTATTTTCTTTCTTTTCTTTTGCACCAAAATTGATGACCACTGTCGGTCACACTTCAGGACCTTCTTTTGGAAACTCACATACATAAAAATCAAGATATAACGGTTTATTCAAGAAATTTCACTCTGTACAAATGAGGAGTACAAACCAGACAGCTTGATGACCACTACAGTTACACTTACTTCTCTTTTACATTAGGATAGTTTTTCCTATTTTTGACCAGATAAATGGTCTGTTATACAACGTTGGCTGCATCATGCAGTAATTAAGGACATCTCCACAAACATGAGACTGGGTCTCTCTTTCCATTTGCATGTGTTAGCTACATAGCACCATGATTTCCTCCAGAACTTACATAGACTCTATTATTTTCTTTGTCAGGACTTCACCAAAATCCCTCTTCATCCCTTTTTTAAGGGTATCTGACAGGATAAGAGTGGGCAGATTGCTAACATTTCCATCAGCATGAACTTCCTCATCTTCATCAATTATCCTAGGAATGGAGGGGGAAGAGGGAGATAAACACTATTGAGCATACTGTTAACAGGCACATGCACTGCAAACTACAGTTATATCTACGTGCACTGCATTGTACAGTGTAGGTATCTGACCTAGGCTGGGTACCAGAAGCAGCGGGGCCATGTTAACATGAGTCTCTCTTGGGCCAATATACCCTAAGAATGACTGTTACCATAGAAGCCACCTGAGCAGTTATGCCACTTCTGGTACCTGAGCTAGCTTTGTTATCCCTGCATCGTCCAGCAGTGCACAATGCAGACATACACTAAGAGAAAATAAATAAATTCACTTCAGGGGAAAGTGTATGACTCAGTCACATGCCAAGAGTGAGTCTCAGTTATGCAGTAGCTTCGCCTGCTCAATTCCCCATATCTTAACTTTGAGAATTATTGAAAAGCTACTGAATAAAGTTCTTAGCCTTCAAGGACATTGCACCAATTTCTCAGAGATTAAAATGGTACAAAAAGTTGAAGCATTTAGAACAAACTGGAGGTATCTCCTTTGGTTTTGGTAAACCTTTTAAAGAAAATTTAGCAGAGTAGCTGGGAAGGATGGGGAACAATCCTCTGAGAGGCCCAAAGTGGACTCTGTGATGCAGATATAGCCAGATAATAAAGACATATAGCACTACTCTGATTTACCCATGAAAAAATAAAATAATCTAACAGTACCTTGCTTCCCTTCACGCATCATCTATGGAGTAATCATCTAAAAAAAAATCTTGTTTTATAATTTATGTAACTTTTGGCTTTTCTAATAACTGTCTGCAGTGGTCATTTCAGGTAATTCAGAATACTAGCTCAAACTGCAGTCAACTGATATATACACGCGACATTCCCAGAAATCTTTCAAAGGCAAGAATCCACAGTACATTCATTAAACGATTGCAATAGACTGCCCATAACCACCCCATTACCCCAGTACCAAGCCATCTGGTATTTAACAGCAAGATGAACCTCAGTCTTATTGCATATGCGCAGAGAGATCTCTCTGGTTCATGCTACTCTCTACACCCACAAGTTCACAGCTATCTCGAGCATTTAGACGTACTAATCACAGAACATGCTGCAATGGGCTGAAAAAAGCCGAGCTCAAGTCTGACCAGATACCATCAGTTAAAATTTGAGCTCTGCATACTCACAAAAGAGCATAAAACCCCACTATGGTATACTGATGCTGCATAATGATTGTGAAAAGGTGGTTATTTATTCAGCATTTCTTGCTCTCAATTTCAGATCACGGTATCAGCCCCAAGACTCATAGGACCACAGGTAGCCTAAAAAGAAATCACTTGAACAGAAGGTTCATCTCAGACTTACAGTAATGTTATTACACTGCTAAGCGCTAGATTTAACCCTTAATGCCCACCAAAAAAGGGAAAGCTCAGCAAAGCCAGTCTACTTAATCCCTGCATTTACCTGTCCTCAATTTCCTGAAGCTTCCTGCGAGCAACCTCGCATTGCTGTTCCCCCATTGTCTGATCCATTTCTTCACAGGGAATTTCTAACATGGCAGGTTCAGGACCGCTGCCACCATACTGACTTGCTACCTCCCCAGCTGCCTGCTGACCTGCACAGAGAATCCATTCTTCAGTGTTGGGATTCAAAGGGCAATTTTTGGCTCCTGTCAATCTCTTCTTCCTCACAGGACAACTAGGAAACAAAATAAGTTTACAATTGTCAAAAGAGAAACGTGGCATTCTACAGGAAAAAATGTTATAGAATGTCATGTGCATTTCAACAGATTTGACATACTATGGAAACACAACCTCCACAAAGAAAATAAATCCACATTGCTCTTATTAAAATGTGGGTACCCATGCAAGAAAATCAGCACTACACAATTAGTTAGGTAACTTAAATGGGTTTCGGCTTATGTGGAATTCAGGGGAAGAATTCCAAATGGAAGCAGTGATAGAATTTCCCTTCCTGCATATGTTGTAGGCGAGATATGCTCAAATCTTTAAACAAAACAAAACACAAATTCAGATTTTTCAGGCTGTAAAAGACAAATTTAATTTACCCTTCCGCCTCTTCTTCTAGCTTATGCTTCTTTCCACAGCGAATAGAGACACTGCAAAAGAAAAAGAAACAGTTATTTAGCTTCTAATTCTATCTTCCAGTGACACTGAGATTTTCAAACAATATTTCCCTCCTTTTTAAAATTTCACTTGCAGCTAAGAGCAACAGTCGCAGTATGTCACCAGCTGTGAAGGGAGCGTAAAAGTTTTGGACAATAAATGACCACTTTGTTCCAAGGAAAGTCAAAGGTGGCTGTAATTACTCAGTTCTCTGAGCAGAATTCCATGCTAATTTCTCCTCCTCTATTTATTTTTTCCACAAGGGGCAAGACCAATTTTTGCTAAAATTCAAATGCTTCAAGAAGCAACACGTGATCCAACTTCAGTCTCTTAATACATTGTCTCACAGTGGCATATTCAAATTAAATACGATCAAACAACAACATTTTAGAAAATAATTTAAGTTTTTTGTGCTCATGTATGAGAGAGAGCAAGTTAAAAAAGCCCAATGATAGAAAAAAGTACTCGAGCTTAAAAGCGTGTCAAGAGGTTGGTAAACTTGATCACATCTCTGTCCTTTTAGAAGGCTCCTTCACCCCCCACCGCCAAACTTCAAGGCCGTAAGACGAGCGCAATACAATCCTAACACTGCACAAGCGAAACACGACTAGAAGAAAACAAATTATAACCCGTCTTGAAAAGAAGGCTTATCTCACACGGACAACGCCGCTGAGAAACAAATCCGTGCCTCCCCCGCTCCAGCGGGAACCGGTTCTGCACTTACTGGCTGTGAGGCTGCTGCTGGTGCAGGCCCTGCGGGTATGCCGCGCTCGTGAAGGAGCCCACCGGGGCGACCGGCGAGCCCTCGTTGTAACTCCCCAGCGCAGCCAGGGAGGCGACGTCGAAGCTGCTCGGCAGATACAGGCCGGAGGA